TGTGATAGTCCATTTATCACATCTTACATTTGGCATGGTACCTGTTATGGGCATGGGCAAATGATCACCTGTGCAAATAAAGCCTGTCAAGGTGGAATACTAACATAAACAAATGGCACCTAATTCATTCCTTGAGTAGGTTTGGCTGAATGCAGGGTGCCGGAAGGCCCATGACACAGGGCATATAAGTGGAGGCCTCCCTGAAGAGTCACATAAACACAGGGTGTCTCTTTGTAGGTGTGTATGAACTGATTGTGCCTTTACCTAAATTTGTGCTTAGGCACCAAGGGATTACTCAGTTTTTCTGTTTTATGTGCTTCCCCCAGATTTTTAATTGAGTATTCTTTAGTACATAGGCTGAAATGATATTACATCAATTGTCTTTGCTTAAAAATATCCCTGTAACCCATTGATTCTACACTTCCCCCCTAAAGGATATCATTTTTATGTCCCGAATACTCTAATTATAGACTCTATGTAGGAAACCATTTGTAATTATCAAACAAAGCAAAGGGTTGGAAGAGATCTGCATGTTGGTCTAGACCTTGCTTGACCTGAATCATGAGTGTTAGAACCAGCGTTGGCGGCGATGCTCCCAACCCTGACCCAGGTATCTGCTAAAGAGAATTCTGCGCTGATGTAGGACCAGGGCTTTGGACTCAGTTGAATACAGGTTTGAATCACAAGTGTTGGCCCTTCAGCACTTTGCTTAATAATCTCTGATCTCAGTGTTTCTATCTGTAAAATGAGCCCATTAATTCAGACCTCTCAGGGCTCTCATTTATTTCAGAACATGTCCATTTTGTTGTTTTAGAAACAGTTCAGGGACCACTCCATTAGTCCAAAGCCGTAGTGCTGCTAGGAACCAGTTCTTATCTTCCTGGCCACACACTGACCAACATCAAAACCTGACTTGGTTCATCAGATTTGGCATGATGAATCATCTTCAATGAGAATGAGTCTCAGAGCCAGGAGTTCAGTGTTAGAGTTCCTAGGCCCAACACTGCCTAACTATGTGCCCACAATCAAGTGTCTTATTACAGATGTGCTGCTATGTATAACCTCTGAGAGGGCCAGAGTAAACACTCTGCAATGTACAAATATTATATGTAGTACCACTCTGGCTGCTATTTGTGACCTGATCCAGCCCTGGCTGTCATGGCCATTTGTGAAGCAATGGATGGAAGATCTTGTCTGTCTCTTCCTCTCTCTTTGTAGCCCTGTCTTTCAAATCAATCAATCAATCCATCTTTAAACTCTGTTCTGTTTTACCAGGGAGCCACAAAGGACTATAAACAGTGAAGAGGGATGGTTCACACAGCACTACTAACTTATTGGCTCGGCCAAGAAGTCTTAACTCTTGAGAGTGAATTTTTGTCCCAAGGGAAAGCTGGAGACCTCGGGAAAATTAAAAGGCAAGCAGAAGATGGGGAAGGCACCTGGAACCTCGTAGCTAGCAGGAGGAATCTCATGTCCTCCCATGCTCCCAGGCCTCCGGAGCCAGTGTTGTTGGAATTTCACTAGACAATACTTTAGACAAACAGTGTTCCCTTTATCTGTAACCACTCTTAGCAATCCCTGGCTGTCAAATGGTTGTTTCTCTTTCTCTGGATAGCACCATTAATAGTATGGCTACTCCATGGATCAGATGGCTCTTCAGTGACCCATCTAGGAGGCCAACACCATTGTACCAGCAAGAGATCTGATTAAATGGACACTGTGTTCAGTCCTGAGGTCCTGTGATACAGCATTCTGACAGCAAACTCTGGCAGTGCGCATTCCCTCCCCCGTCCTCTTGGCGAGGTTTTGTGGTGTCATTTTGTCCCTAGCCATGTAATGGATAGGATAAGCCAAGCTGATCCCTTTTCAGAACCACAGAGACCTGGCCCAGCTCCTGGAAGTGCTGCCATGAGACAGACCTCAACTGTGAGCATGAAGCTGAGGGTTGCCATGGCCTCACAGAGCCACCTACCTCCTCTAGGGCCACTCTACTGCCATCTAGCCATGTCCAGTGAATGATGAGCAGATAAGGGCATACAGGGCCCCTGTCTCTTTCCCCAGCCCCATTGGATAACCCTAAAGAGTCTCCTCACCACCACCCTGCAGGGAAGTAAGAAGCCATTAAGGGTCTGCGTCCCACTCTTCCACAGGGGTTGGTCTCTCAGCCTGCCTGCGAAGGAGATTTTGATTGCAGTCCTCTTTGGTCCATGTTTGAGCCAGAAAATGGGCTCATGTGGAAGAGCAAGGCCTGGATGCATTCTGCAGGTGTTTTACTATCTGGACAGAAATGGAACCTCAAGAAGGAGAAATGCAGATCCTGGCTCTGCATAACTGTGTGACTCACATGCTTACTCAGTGCAGGACCATTAAAAGGCTCTTCACATGCTATTGTTCTCGCTCCTCTTCTTCCTTTGGCCCTCCTTCCTTCCTCTCCATACCTTCCCCTCCCAGCCTCATTAACAGGATCTGAAAAGCCTACCCCTGTTTCCGAGTGGCCATCCTGCCTGCTGTGCTCTGTGCACACACTGTCCCCCTGCAAGCCACTAGAGGATAATTCAACAGTCACAGCAGGAGGCTCCTGTCCAGATACATCCATATTACTGGGGCAAAAAGTCTCCTAGAGTCTTGGCCTGTTTTGTTAGTGAGTCATGCCTTTTAAAAAGATTCCTCCCACCCCCTTTTGTGTGTTTCTGTTATACCAAAGAACACTTCGCTGTAGAGTAAATCTATGTGGACTGAGAGGGGATGGCAAACAGGACAAGGCAAGTGCCAGGGAGACACATGGTGGGGGACACTGGATGTCAGCTGGAATGTCCACATACCTGGGGCAGGTAGCTTCTGCTCTGGGAGTATAGGCTCATGAGGAAGGAAACAGCACCCCACATAAAGGGGATGCCCCCAAAGTGGGTATACCCAGAAAAAATGCTGCTTCCTTCTCAGCTGTTCCCACCCTGAATGATCCAAGAAATTGCATCAGCAGAGCAAAGCGCACTGCATGCATGCCACCTCCCTTAACCTTTGGGCCACATCCTTTATGTTTATATGGCTCTGATTGCGGATGATGGTCCCCTGCAGGACACCCTCGCCCTCCCTCCACCTCTGGCACCTGCTTGTCTTCAAGCTGCCATCTCCTCCTTGCAGCTCCTTCTCCAGCCCCACTGCATCCGTCTGTCTTTCTGTTGTTGTGGACTTTCCCTGATTAGGTTTGATGCATTTTTTCTGAAAAATGGCAGAGGCGGTGGGAATGAAAGAATGTAAAATGTGAGGATACTCTGGAGGGGGTTTCAACTCATTCATCTAAACATGGTGGTAGGGTAAGGGGTGTGGAGGAGGGGGTGGAGGGGTGTGGAGGAGGGGGTGGAGGGGAAAGGGGAGAAGAAGCAGTGCATCGCCTGTGGGCCCCCTGAGCCAGCCTGCTCACACCTCCTTTACCATCCTGTGGTCAACAGTACCCAGGGGCTCTTCTGTACTTGCCCACACACTGTGTGCTTCAGCGTCACCCAGCAATCCTGAGTTCCCAATGCCATGACACTTCAGCTATCCTGTGAGTCCCTGTAAAATAAGGAATGTGTGTTTGCAGTGTCTGCTATTCCTTCCTCAGTGCTTTTCATAGAAGACTCTCAAGAATGAAAAGCTTTTTTTTAAAATTTACTTATTTTAAAAGCAGCATTACAGAGAGAAAGCATCTTTGATCTTCTGGTCCACTTCCCCAGTTAGCTGCAATGATTGGGACTGGGCCAGACTAAAGGCTGGAGCCAGGAACTGTATCCCAGGCTCACCTGTGGATGTCAGGGGCCAGGTACTCGGGCTGTCCTCCGTGTCTCTTCCAGGTGCATTAGCAGAGAGCTGGATCAGAAGCTGAGCAGCTAGAACCAGAATGGAGCTCTGTTCTGGGATGCCAACATCCTATGTAAGAAGCAGCTTACATGCTACAGCACATCAGGGGCCCCTAAAACTAGTCTTGTTGGAAAATTTCTCAAGTTCTAATGCTCCCAAGTGCATGGGACAGTTTTTCTAAGAATGGGAACCTTGAAGCAGGGGATATCTGAATTTCCTAGAAGGAAAACAGCCTCTGTTGCTTACAGGAAGTCTTGGTCGAGGGGCTTCTGAGCCCTCAGTCCCCTGGGGGTTTTGTGTTTATTTACATAACTGCACAGTTTGGTGACGATCGTAAGTACATTTTTTTCAGGTCCGTGACATATCATGGAAAAAGTAAAAACCTCTCACCAATGTCATTGATGTCACCGATCCATATACAGACATAGCTCCATATCCAAGTTGCTTCATTAACAAGTACCAGCTCCTGCATTGCAGTCTGCTGTTGAAAATCGAGACAGTTAACACCCTATCAGAAGACTCTTTAAAGAAATGCATTAAATCCACCCTCTCCCCAGTTTAACTCTGCCCAACTATCCCATAAGGGAGCCAGATTTCCTAAAACTAGGAGGGACTGCTACAAGCAGAAACCAGTTCCACACTGCCTCCTCTCCACGCAGCAGGACAAATTTTCCTGCAATCTGGCTTCTCCCTTGGCAACCGTCACACTGCAGCACCTCAGGCAGGGCCACCCGAGGGTCCTCACATGACCAGGCCATTCCTCAGAACCAGGTCAGGGCTGCTCATGGGCCAGCAGGCCTGACCGCAGCTTCTGCAGCTCGGAGTTGTCAGCAGGGTTTGTTAACATTTCACTTCCATCCCCAAACCAGGAAGTGCCTTTAAAGATGAGCCCAAGACAAAAGCAATCCAGCCCCAGAGGGAAACCCAACAGACTGAAGCAAGGCTGTGGGGAGGAGCGAGGGTGGTTTTCCGGGTTCGGATAGGAACCCGAGACCTCCTCCCCATAAAACAGCATCAAATGCTCTAGCTCGCCAAGGAATCTCAGAAGTCGCAGACCTGGGCGGGTACACCCACAGCCCTGCTCGCTGCACTGTGGGCTCTGCTTCCTCCTCAGGGCGGTCCACACCCGGGCCGGGCTGCAGCCAGTAAATCCACTCTACCCAACTAGTGCAGATTATAGAAAAGAACAGAACTGGCGAGATTCCCCGGAAGGGTCAAGGCGCAGGGTGGACCACGCCCGGGGAACCGTGATCCTGTGCCACAAGCGCAGAGCACGCCCGGCGGGGTGTGGTTGGGGGGAACCCGTAGTCCCCAGCACCCTCCACCACCAGATCCCTGCTGGTCGGCTGAAAAGAGGGGGCGAGTTGCTAGGCGAAGTGTCTTGGAGCTGCGAGCCTGGACAGTTGCGGCTGGGGCCCCCAGCCCGCACGGTGCAGGAAGGGGAGGTTCCCAAGCAGGGCGAAGGGGGGCCCGGAGCGGCTCGGGGCTGGGTAGGAAAAGCTGCCTCACGGCCGCGCCCTCAGCCGCTCGCCCAGCCCTCGGCGCTCCCAGCCCGCCCTCGGCCAGTCTCTGCCAAGCCTTCCCGGAGGCAACGCCGCAGCTTCGCCATGTCCCAGCCGGGCCAAAAGCCTGATGCCTCTCCGAGACCCCGGCGTGCCAGGCACACCCAGGAGGTGAGTGACTCCTGCGACAGAGGGAGGAAGGCCCCTGTCCTGGAGCCCTCCGGCCCTGGCCCGCTCTGGGCCTGTCTTCCCTGGGGCGTCCGTCTGATAGAGCTCCGGGCTGGGCCCCCGCCTCAGGGCAGGTGGCCTGAGATGACTGAGGACTCTAAGTTAGGGAACAAGTGCGCTGGGCGTGGCACAGGCAAGGTGTAGGAGTAGGGTCCCGGGGAGAAAAGTTGGTTGGAGAGACAGGAGTGACGTAAGGCAGGGCGCCGAGGAGGGGTGGGGGGAAATGAAGTTATCAGGACCTCCCCAAAGTGGGGTTGCGCCAGGAGATTCGGGCTCCGATCGTCAGTGCGCAGTCGGGCCGCAGGGCGTGGCTGCTCCCTAAATTTGACACTTCTCAGGCTAGCTCTGATTGACGGGTGGGGACAGGGGCGGGGCACGGTAGGGGCGGGATCAGGGTCACACCCCAAAGGTGCCCGCCCACCTGGTGGCTTTGGGGAGCCAGAGGAGTCCCACGCCAGCCGCGCCCCCGCCAGGCGCAGTGTGAGCCTGGAATTCAGCCTCACTCCCAGCTTCCCAGGGCTTCCCGTTGACCCCACCGGTTGCCGCCATGGCGTTCGCAAGCTGGTGGTACCAGACGGTAAATAGGGGCAGGATCGGGAAGGGAATGTTGCTAGAGTGGCCATGCTCTTCTAGGCTGTGGGTGAGGGTGGGGTGGGGGGCAGGTACTCCTTTTTCTGGGATCCCTCGTGGGATCTGCATTCTCCTGTGGAGTGGAGTAGGTATTCCGGTCACAGATGCGGGGCGCAGGAATTTGCAACTGGGGTTTCTTGTTTTCATTCCCAAGTGGAGCTTCAGAAGTTTTAGAGGAAGGCGGTTCCGTGGTGTGTGTGTGTGTGTGTACGTATGTGTGTGTACTCTCAAATACTGAGGATGCAAGGAACCAGGACAGGAGCAAGAAAGACGCAAGGAACAGATGGGGCAGAGAGAGCACGATGCCACTTTGGATAGGAGATTAATACATGCCGTACCAACGAGGCGTGATAGCCAGTCAAGCTGGGACTTGCAGTGTTTTGGAATCAGGTAGCAAGGTTTATCGTTAGATTGCTTTCCAAAAAATATGTTCAGAGGTTTGATTGCTGCAAAGAATGCCAAGATTAATGTGCCTTTGATTTACAGTGAGAACTCTTTTTTTTTTTTGTAAACTACAGGCTAGATGCATGCCATAAAGGTTGGTGAGGACTAGCTGGAATCATACGTCAAGCTTCTGTTTGTTGCTGTTTTTTAAGGATTTTTTGCGTTTACTCTTAATGGCTGTCAACTCCTGTTTCACTTTTTGCTAAATGTTTCCAATTGCATTTCTGAAGATAGTATTTTATAGATGTGCTAAGAGCAGAAGTTTGCTTTGAGTCACTCTTGCCCTAAGGTCTTATCACAAGGCCCCATTTGAATGGTCTGCAAATACGGATGGCAGTAGATCATAGTTGACAGCTGACTTGCCCTCCCCAGCCCAGGATCCTCTAAAGAAACCTGTGCCGTGCTACCTGGAAGGCAATGATTGAAATCTGTGCCTTTAGCATTGTTTTTGTTAGGCATCCCCTGGCATTTTTGTTAAAAAAAAAAAAAAAAAAAAAAAAAAAAAAACAGCTCTCAGAACCCAGTTTTTGGAACTGTCAGGCAAGCCGTATGCTGGTAACAACCTCCTAGATTTGAGAGTGTGGTTTGTGTCAAATTTTACCTTTCCCGACCAGTAGAAATGCGAGCATAGTGTGAGCTGTGCACAGAGGAACTTCAGAAAGATAATGGGGAAGTGGCGTTAAAACCTGTGTCTATCTTGGTACATAGAATTTAAAAAATACACAGGTTCCATGGACTTACTGAGGTCTCCTTATACGCACCGATTTCAAATTGTGAAGTATTTATTTGCATGTGTTTGAAAAGCAGAGAAACGATGCCAGTCAGTGATCTCCCGTGTCCTGGCTTACTCCCCAGATGCCTGCCACAGGTAGCGCTGGACAAGGCTGCACCCAGCAGTTAGGAACACTGAGAGCAGGCACCCAACTGCTTGAGCCATCACTGCTGCCTACCAAGGTAGACGTTAGAAGGAATCTGAAATTGGGAGCAGAGCCAAGACTCAAATCCATGCATTCCAGTACTAAATGCAGGCATCCCAGTGGGCCAAGTAAATATATTTAAGATGTTATAAATATAATAACTGTAAAGATGATCCTAAACTTAATTTTCACAAACTTTTTGAAATGTGCTTGTATGTATTTTACAATTTGGGACATAATTAAACATTTCTAGAAACCACATTAACAAAAGCAAAACAAAGGAGGTGAAATGAATTCTTATGTGTTTTATTGTGCTACTTATAAGATATACAATGTCCCAGATATTATTTCAATGTGTATACAACCATTGAAATATTTTCCATTCACTTTCTTGTATTAAATCTTCAGAATTCAATATATACTTTATATTTCTTGCACATCTTGATTTCTACTTACCACATTTCAAGTGTTCAGTAATCACAGTTGATCAGTGAATAGGGTATGAGACAATGTAACTCTGAACTAACCATGGGTTACTAAACTTAAGAAAAAAAAGTGAGTTGAGAATAGACCATACTTAAAATTGAATGGAAATGATGGGTTATTTTCTCACACACAAAAATACACACATGTATATAAATGCAGTTTCTTAGCCGATTTCATAAAGTTCAGAGATTTCGCTAAAGACCACCCATAAATCCTCTAAAGTCCAAGTTTATAAGACATACGCAGTGAAAAATGTAGGCTATGTCTGTGTGCATTGGATGTGTTACATGTATGTTGTACAGTTCCTATAAATCATGCCTGAGAGTATGCATGTGTCACACGTAGATGGAGATTTGTGTGGTGGTGTGCGTGTGTGTAGATACGTCTACAGAGCAGTATCCCCTTGGGCCTTCATATCCATGGTGTCTGTACCCACAGTCAACCACCTGCCAATCAAAAATACTTGGAACACTGTGCCTGGACATACATGTTCTATTTTCCTTGTTACTATTCTCTCAACAGTACAGTGCAACAAGTATTATACAGCACTTAGCATGTATTAGGTATAAGTCATCTAGAGATGATTTAAAGTGTATAGAATAAGATGTGAGTAGGCTATGTGCAAATACACATCCTCTTATAACAGGTGCCTCAGCATCTGCTGACTTAGATACCCATGAGGATTCTGGAACCAATGCCAGGTGGACACCCAGGAGCCACTGGGCAGAACACTTCTGGGGATTCTGTAGTTCAGATTTCTTTAGAAATCTGCAAAAAATTTGAAATACTGCAAAAGGTTGTGAGTGACCTACTTGCTAGAATGTAGACTGACTGAAGGAACATAAGAAATATGCCTAGGGTGTGTCTCTTTCAGAGCATGCCACCTACGAAGCTTGTCCGTGAAACATTGTGATGTAGTTGCCCACGTTGTCTGTCTCTCCTTCTAAGTTAATGTGTGTTTACAGTAGGGAGGACCATGTAACTTTATAAAAGTTAGACTTGAAGAATACTAAAGGGCATCCCAGTGATCAAGTGCTGAAGAGGAGTGTGGCTTCCACCACCAGTGCTCCCATTCCTGAATCACTGACTGATTCTATCAGTCCATGTTAATTAGAGGTGTTTCTTAGCCTAATTAGATGCATGGCCCAGTGATGGTGTGATCAAGGAGTTCAGTCATTTGGGAGGTTCTGTCATGGCAACCAGCCTGCAATGAGGTGTGGCAGGCCAGCCTTTGGTGGCAGAGCCCTTCCAGGGCTGCCGTGGGTCTGCCAAAAGCACACAGACTCCACAGTGGTGGAGGCAAATGGCTGTGCGCTCTCAGCTGCTGTCGCAGCAATTCACTTGTTTTCCATTGCGTACAAGCCATTCAGACAAGGGATGCGTCTGAGGCTATGTTCCTCTAAACAGTTTTGACATTTCCTAGCAAGTTAATTATATTCTACAAGTGCTTTTTAGAGAATGATTGTAGCTCTCTGGGGCTGGAAACAGTGGGCGGTCATTTACAATTCCAAGGTGAGTTAGTTATGAATAGACTGTCTCAATGGATACCAGACAGCTCCAAATAGGCTTTTTTTTTTTTTTTTTTTTTTTTTTTTGGCAAAGGCAGAGTGACAGAAGAATGGGAAAACAGGTGTAGATAGGAGAGAAAGAGACAGAGACAATGTGAGCAAACAGTTGGTTCTCTCCTGATGGTTGTACCAGCCTGGACTGGGCTACATTGAAGCCAAGAGCCAGGGACTCCATCCTGGTCCCACACCTGGGTGATGGGACCTGAGTACTTAGGCCATTTTCTGCTGCCTTCCTAGAAACAGTAGGAAACTGGATCTGAAATGGGCAACTGGGATGTGAGACAGCGCTGAGATGTGCGCTGCCAGCATCACCCCTGGTGGCTTAACTAGCTGTGCTGCAGCATTGCCTCTAAGTACACCATTGTTAATCCCCTCTCCAGGTACTTTTAAGATAAAAAAAAGATATTAATATGACACTACATCTAACAAATCCTGTGTATATAACTTGCCTGCTCAGATGGGTCTGTTAACTCAAGAGGCAAAAGATCTGTGGTTAATTTTCTGAAGAGTTTTATCTATTTATTTGAAAAGCACCGTGTGTGTGCATATGCATGCATATGAAAGGGAGAGAGAGAGCAAGCTGGTTTGTTTCTCATTTCCCGCTTCCTGAATGCCTGCGACAGCCAGGCTGGCTAGACCACAGTTGGGAGTCTGGGACACAGCCCTGTTCCTTGTGGGGAAAGGGACACGATACTTGGACCACTGATGCTTCCCAAGTGCTAGAGTGGGAAGCCAGATCTGAGAAGCTGGCCCTTACACAGGTTCTTGGGTATAGGATTCAGGTGTCCCAATGCTGGCTATAGGATGTTCTGTAGTAAAACTGAAATCACTGTTGTGTGATACTAGGAAGACCTGTACCCTTCAGGTAAAGGGATCCTAAACTTTTCAAAACATTTTTGGCAGGAAATATTTAAATAAACAGAGAAGAAAAGAATATAATGTGCTACCCAGTCACCAATCAATTGTCACTATATTATCAACATTGTGCTAAGCTTGTCTTATCTATCTAAACCCCACCTCCATCAACACACACCCTTCCAAAGAATTTTGAAGCATGTCAGTTGCAAATTAAAGTGTTCCTTCTGTAGCAAACGTGATATAGAATGTTGAGGAAATGAATTCCATGTCTCCTGTATAGTTTAGGGCATAGTATGTATGTGGGAGACCAATAAGATACACAGTTGTAGGATAGACATTGAATTAAACGAAAACTTGACTCTTTTGTACTGTAAGGAAAGTCAAAACCAGATTCTGGTGTGGATGGCTTTTGAAAATGAAACGCTTGAACCTTTGCTTACTCCCCACATTCCTTTCCCTGTCTTATAATTCACCATTTCAGACTGATGCCAGGGCAAAGGGGAGTGGAGTACTGCATTTCTTCTAAATCTTCAAATCTTATTTTTCCTGCTCTGTTATACTTATTTTGAAAGGCAGAGACAAAAAGAGGCCTCCCAAATTTGGTGGATTAGCTCTAGCTAGGTCTTCTCTCTGAGTGGCTAAGGCATAAGTGCTGGAGCTGGCACCTGCTGCTTACTACGGTTCCCAGCTGGAAGCTGGAATCAGAATGGAAAGCTAGGATGGAAAAGCTAGGCACCATGATAGAGGATGGGACATTGGAGTCAGTGTCTTTAAACTGTGTCTGCTGCCCCTTCCTGATCATATTCCTAAATGTACTGGACTGTGGATCAGGTTTCTCATGTCCATTAGCTGTTATCTCAATTATGCCAATCCCTGGGATCAGGACCCTTCTCCCTATTTTAATAAGGAGAAAATGAGAGGTTAAATCATTTGCCCAAAGTCACACAGCCTTCCAAGTTCATCCATGCTCACTCTGTCCTGTTAGATTTTATTATAGTCAACTAAGGGAAATGACCGAGGATTTAAAATAAAAGAATGTAAAGGGGGCAGGGCATTGGTTGTCCAGGAACAGAAAAATCTGGGGTACTTAGGGGGAGTAATGTAGAAGAGGGAGGCAGCCCAGAGATGAGTGATTACAGGGAAGTGCTACCATCACTTGGCTGGAGGGATGGGAGCAGGAGCAGGGTCATTTGATGATGCTGCACCCGTAGCTGGCCTGTCCTGCAGGAGACACTGTGGGTGGCAGAGGCTCCAAGAGGCAGAGGGAAGGTGGGCAATGTGCCACCTACCACCTCCAGCCTCCAGTGATTGCCTCCCATTGACCAAACCCAGCTTGCTGCCATCTACAAAGAGCAGTGCAGCCAGGAAGACCCCCCACAATGCCAGTAATGCAGGTGGAGGGCAAGCAATGCCTGGAAGGCATTGACATCTGCACCCCGCAGACCTATGGAGCAATGCCAGTTTGGTCTTTGTGCATGTGTTCAGAGTGGCAGTGTTTTTGCAAGGAGGATAGCTTTTAGGGTGTTTTGCAGAGAATACTAATATGCCTGTTGTCTCTTAATGTTTCCAGGTATTTTCTCAGCCTCTTGCTCCTTTACCTAGTTTACTGAGCTGAAATGAATTGGCGTTTCTTCCCAGGGAGTGTTCAGGAACTTGTGGAAATGTGGTTATTCAGGGAAGATAAGTCACAGTCCTGCCACATGTATAGCAAAACAAACAAAAAAGGATAGAATTGAGCATCTTGTTGGAAGGTAGGATATAGGTGTCTGAAGCAGTTAGTGAGGGAGGTGTTCAACGGGGTACCAATTTGTTTTACTAAGGAAATAGAGACTGGTGTGCAGACATGAAGAGAGGATACCTTAGTAGTCGAGTGAGGTTTGGAATTGGTTAGGAAATGCTGGCAAGAGCACAGGGCACTGGGCTCCTCCACTTGGTCCAGGAGAAGCCCAGAGCTGGGCCAGTCTGCCGCAATCCCTCCCCTTTTGGTGCCAACTTGGGGTGAGCTGAGGAGTGGAGACTTCTACCATCATAGTGTGCACAAGTCTTTCAGAACTAGTGGTTCCCAACCCTGGCCTCACAAGACCATCAGCCAGGGATTCCAGATATACGCATGCCCAGGCCCCAAGCTTTTGGAAAGATTTCACCTAAATCTGGCAGGAGGCTTTGCAAAAGCTGCCCAGCTGCCTGAGGCCTGCCCTGCAGGTGGGACTGACTGCCAGCCAGGCTTCCCCAGTGTGTGTGATGGTGATGGCATGATGAGCATGTGCACTAGGAAGTCCAGAGGAGGGGGCGTGCGAGACGATCTTTCACTATTTCCTTGTTTTACTTTAGCTCTCCCAGGCATGCAAATATTGATGTCTCTAGCCTTATCTCTCAGGGAAAGAAGGAAAATTTCCAAGTTTTCAAATAACCTGTAGTTTAAAAACAACAACACTGTATTCAGGTGTTACACTGTACAATTCACCCATTAAAGCATACACTGCAATATTATTTTAGTATGTTCACAGGATGGTGCCATCATTGCCACAGTTTAAAGTGTTTCTATATCTTCCTAAAAGAAAATGATTTATTTGAAAGGCAGAGAATGAGAACTTTCTTCTGCTGGCTCACTTTCTAAATGACTGCAACAACCAGAGTTGGACCAAGCCAATGACTAGAATGCCATCTGGGTCTCCCAGGTGGGTGCCAGGGACCCAATCCCTTGAGCCATCACCTGCTGCCAGTGTGCCCATCAGCAGGGGAGCTGGAGTGGAGCACATATCCTGAGCTTTTGTGGGGCAAACGTGGAAGGGACAACCAGTTACATCTGGGCGTTTGCCCTTCTTAGGGATGGTTTGAAGTTGGTCCTTAGTTATGTCACCAGTTGCTTGGCAATTGACTGGCGTTGATTTTCTTTCAGTAAGCCAGTTACTAAAAATGCCTCCTGATTAAATTCAGGAGGTTACTGGTTACTTCTCAATGCTAATTGCCCTCAACCACAGGACAGGACAAACCAACCCTTGACTGCAACAAGTAGAATAAGCTTGGTAGGGAGCTTCCTGCACCAAGTGGCAGTACCCTGGGTGGGCTCCACCATGAGAATGCTTCTGTTGGAGAACTTAATCCTCCTAAAACAAGATTGACTGATGCAAAGAACAGTTAAGGAAATGTCAACCACAAGTCCTGCTGTTCTTGGCTATTTTATTGTTTGAGCTAATATTTATGTGATGTGATATTAGCTAATCCCATTTAGCAGGGTAGAGCAGGAAGCCATGAACTTTAAGTTAAAAAATTTCATTTACTAGTTTTATGTTATTGTAAAATGCATCAATCACAGTCATTCTTCATTTCCTCATTCATATAACCTTATGCTTTACTTTTTTGTTTTAAATAAGACTGATCAATATGAAAGTTCCTTGCAAAACTGTAGACAGCATAAATGATTGTCATTACTAGTAAGAATATTATTATTACTTTTCCCAACCCAAGTACCTTCATTGTCCTGCAGCTCTAGTTTGTGATTCTGCAATAGGGAACATCGTAGTATTTTATTTTTTGGTTTCACTGAGGGCAAACAGGAAGAATCCATTAATGTTCCTCTATTTTCTTACCTTGTTATACTTCCCACAGTGTGAAACAAATAAAATAATTGTTTGTACTTCCCTTCCAGGAACATATGCATTTTTTATTTCTCAAAGAAATTCAGTGAACTTTAAGACTTAGTTTAAAGGATTATTTATTTTAAAAGTGACAGAAAGATCCAAGGAAAAAGAGATCTTCCATGTGCTGGGTTTATTCCCTAAATATGCATTTCAGAGGCTGGGAAAGGCTCAATCCAGGTTTCCCACATGGGCTGCAGGGACTCAGATACACGGGACAGCACCTGCTACTGCTCAGGATGTGCATCAGCAGGAAGCAGGATCACAAGTGGAGCTGTGACTTGAACCGAGGCAGTCCAGTAAGGAGTACTGTACCCTAAGTGCTCCAAGCCTGCTTGTTAAAATTTTGTCACTAAGCGTGAGTGCTTCTTAAAACTTCTGTGTGCCACATAAAAATACTGATATTCATCCTCTATGACATTCATCCAGTATTTTAAAGACATTTAGCTTCTAGATATGATGACATCTTATAGTCATGATGAGTAGAAGTTGCAGGCCTGGCCTTGCCCTCTATCTTTTGGCCTTGGTGAATATTCTGGAAAAAGACCTCTGGGAAGCTCCCAAAGCTATCAGGAGCAATGGTGCCTTGGAAGGTTGGGGAGAATTCTTGAGTTCATGCTGAGTCAAGGCTTAAGCCTAACTTCAGACATGCATGGTCTCAGAGATCTGATCTCCGTGGCAAACCAGACATCTCCTGTGCTGGTGATTTGGGCTGTGCAGTTCCATGAGGCACTTGGTGGGAGACGAGCTGCCGCCATGGTGTCACCATCAGCTCTGGATCTGGCTAATTACAGAGTGACTTTCTGCATCCCTAATGAATGTCTGTGGTGTCCCTTCATTTTTCAACCCCACTTGCTGGGATGCAGAATTACTAGGGTTGTCAGGGGAAAATGAAAGGGGCCCTTGTTTTCAAAGTCTGTGCAATAATCCTTTTGGATTAAAATCACTATTATCCCAAATCCTCTATTAAAGCATTATCTTTTTTTTTTTTTAACCATTCTTACAGCATGTTAATGAGAAAGCCAGTGGATCGTCTTCTAAATCAGGAGAGAAGAAAGGATCCGATGAGGTAATCCCCCCAACACTGGGTCTTCATTTTCTTTTGCTTTCAAACTGTGCATTCTTTTGTGACATATTAAGTAAAAATGCAGGCAAGTGCTGTTACTGGAATTAGGAAATTAAGTTTTAAATAAGAGTTGCTTTAAGAATGTAAGTGAAAACTGTTGAATAGTGGGTAAAGTGTTCGTATAGAAGCAATCTTTAGGAAAGTACTCAAGATGTTGTTGTTGCTGTTATTGTTTTGTTGGTTTGTTTTGTTTTGTGTATGTTTTGCCCGTAAAGTTGGGTGAATCTTAGTGGCTTTTTTGGCGTACATGACAGGTATAGAAGGAAAAGCAAGGGCTGGCCTAGACTTTCCTTTTTCATGTGAACAAACCGGGAAAGGACAGTGTTGGCCTAGATTAACCAGTCATTCATGATTCCATAAACAAAAAGAAGACAGGAGCCATTTTTTCATCAATTCTGTAAGAAAATAACCCAAAAAAACAAACTTCCCTCCATGTTGAGATGGATTCCTGTGGCTTTCTATTTTCACCTGTGTCTTTAAGGAAGAATCCTGTGAAAGATCTGCTGTTTGCTTTTTTAAAGTGTTATTTATTTAATCAAAAGCCAGAGTTACTGAGATAGAAGGAGAGACAAAGTGATACTCCATTTGCACGAGTCCCTCCCCCTGTGGCCATAGCAGCCACGGCTGGTCAACACAAGGCTAGGATCCTGGAACTGCATGCTGTTCTCCTGCATGGGAGGCAGGGCCCAAGCACTAAGGCCATGTTTGGCTGCTTTCCCAAGGCCTTTAGCAGGGAGCTGGATGATAAGTGGAGTAGCCAGGGCTTGAACAAGTGCCCACGTGGGATACTGGTATTGTGGTCAACAGTTCAGCCCTCTACATCCAATAAAGGTCCTACTCTCTGTGCTTCAAAAGGGTACTGCATTTGCCTCCATTTATTGCCTTAAATGTAATAAGACTCAGTAGGGAGAGTCATCTTCATTGCATAGAAAGGCATCACTTCTGGCTTCTAGGTTAAATCCAGTCAATTCTAGAAAGGTAAATAGAAATATAGAAATCCTGAAATGATCATTTTATTGTTCCTCTGTTATCGATATTAAGCAGTTTATTTTGGAAACTTGGTTCTTCTTTCACTATTTTATAATATTTACTGTCAGGAGAATATTGTGACTAATACTTGTTATATATTCATTCTTTCCTTTGCCAAAACTCATAAAGGTATAATTTAATTTTTCTTCCTAACCAGCTTTATAGTGATTTTTTTTAATTTATGGAAGGCAAAAGCTTCTTTCACAATAAAAAGCAAAAATAAACTTACATTAAAATTTTAGCCAATATCTTGATTAAATTACTTTGGTAGTTTTCGTTTTTTTCTTAAATGTTTATTTATTTTTATGGAAAAAGCAGATTTGCAGAGAGGAGAGAGAGAAAAAAAGATCTTCCACCCACTGTTTCTCTCCCCAAATGGCTTTATTGGCTGGAGCTGAACCTACCCAAAGGCAGGAGCCAGGATCTTCCTCTGGCTCTCCCATGCAGTTGCAGGGTCCCAAGGCTTTGGGCCATCCTCTGCTGCTTTCCCAGGCCACAAGCAGGGAGCTAGATGGGAAATGGAGCAGCTGAAACACAAATCAGCATCCATATAGGATGTAGGCACTTGTAGGCAGATGATTAGTCATTTAAGCTATCACACTAGCCTCTAGTTTTAAGGTTTTAAAATTTATTTGAAAGAGAGAAATAGTGGCAGAGAGAGAGAAAGGGAGGGAGGGAAGGAAGGAAGGCAGGCTGGCAGGCAGGAAGGCAAGCAGGGAGGGAGGGAGCCCACCCAGCGAGGTAGCCTAGTGGCTAAAGTCCTTGCCTTGCATGCCAGGGATCCCATATGGGCATGATTCTAATCCTGGCAGCCCTGGTTCCCATCCAGCTCCCCACATGTGGTCTGGGAAAGCAATTGAGAAGAGCCCAAAGCTTTGGGACCCTGCACCCATGTGGAAGACACGGAAGAGGCACCGGGCTCCTGGCTTCAGGCTTCAGATTGGCACAGTTCCAGCTGTTGTGACTACTTGGGGAGTGAATCAACGGATGGAAGATCTTTCTGTCTTTCCTCCTGTCTGTATATTTAAGAAAAAAAAAAGAAGGAAGAAAGAAAGGAAGCTGACTTCCATCTACTGGATCCCCCAAAGGGTCATGATAGTTGGGGCTGGGCCAAGCCAAGACAAGAGTTTAGAACTCAGTTTAAGTCTCCGGTATGGGTAGCAGGGATCATCTACTGCCTTCTCAGGCGCATTAACAGGGAACTGGATCAGAAGCAGAGCAGCCAGGACACAAACTGGTGCCCTGGTACGTGATGCCTGCATGGCACGCAGGGGCTCAACACACTGCCTCACAGTGTCGGCTCCTTGGTTAAATTATTTACAAATATATTTCCACATGAACAACATTTTCCCCCTCTTTTACCTACAAGGAAATCTCCCTAAGTATCATTCAGTTCCTTTCACCTTTATTTATAGAGAATTTATCAGGTTACTTACTTAGGTAAATGGTGATTGCTTCTTGGTTGAAAACTGGTATTGCTTCATTCTCCTGATCAGGAAATAATGTATTTGGTTGTTATTGTCTTTTAGTATTGATCAAGACGAAGGTATGTACACACAAACTAAATTACTGTCTTCTAATGTTGGCAGTGGGTAGTAAGCTGTCTTGGATAGTTCTGGTGCATTGTGTTGTAACTTGCAGGCTTCCCTATTACCTCTTGTAATAGTTGGTTTAGGCAGTCTTGTTAGCACAGAGTTAAATCTTTTCTATTACTTGGATTATGAAGCTCCTCAACTCCCCTGGGTAACACACTGGAAACACACAACTCAATAGCTCTGTTACGAATCCCCAGGGCAGGACTCAAGATCTCCATGTCCGGAGAGGCAGACTGTCTTTTGGTCTTGACCCTGAAAGGCTGACCTCCTACCTCAAAAGGAAGAAGAGGGGATTTTACAATCTTGAGGTTAGAAAATTCCAACAATATTTCATTCCATCGCTGAGCTATTCCAATTTACAACCCCTGCCTTCTTGCTTTGCTTTATTCCCCCAATCAACACAAGCAAAATGGGCATAGAGGTGTTTTATGTGGCTTAAATTATGACTTTGGAACAAAAGCAGATTCAGCAGAGCTTTTTTGAGCAAAGGATGATTCATGAATCGGGTACCAATCAAGCTGGAAGAGGTGCAGAGTGCACCACCATCTCACCAAATTCTGTGCTGTTTATCTACCTGGCATGTCTTGGGTGCACAATCATGGGAGTGGGTGACTGGGGAGTGAAGATGTGTCCCCAAGGTGGTCTGTTCACCCAGCATCTCCTTCCTAATGCTAATGCTTATACCACCACTACGAATTTGTCAAGTCCTTGTGAGATGTAGAGGAATTTTAAGACAGAAAATTCCATGGGCAAACAAGTCGAAGATAAAATAGGTAGAAAACAGGAAAAAGAAAAATGGAAGCATTTAACCTCAGCATCTTTAAATATATGGAAACCAAGAGATCTTTCCAAGCATGCAATCAAATCTATTTCAGGTATTTGACGAACACATTTGGCCACTCTGAGGGAGTGTTATTCTTTTAGCAACATATTTCAGTAACTTCCTGCAAATTAGAATGTCAAGCATCGTTGTAAGGTGTGATCTCATAGAACTAATTTTAAAAGCTTCAAATTTAATTGTTATATATATGAATATCTTTTTGAACTGCAAGTCTTTTTAAATTTTACATTCTTTTATATTACACCGCCTCTCATTCTTTTATTTGAGAGGGAGAAGTGGAGAAGAGAGAAAGTGAAGGCAGAAGGAAAGTGGGAGCAGGGAGAGAGGAGGGAAGAGAGAGACAGGTGCCAGACAGAGGCTCGGATCTCCTGGTTCATTCCCCTGATTCTCACAATGGCCCCTGAGTGGAGCCCAAGCTGTGAGCCAGGAACTCAGTCCAGGTCTCCCACATGGCATCCGGCACCAATCACCTGAGCCATCACCATTGCCTCCCAGGCTACTTTAGCAAGAAGCCAGAATCAGCAGTGGATCTGGAACGCCAGTTCAGGATACTAACAGAACACGTGACTTTTGGATGTGTACAAGATGATCATGCTAGCACCTTGACATCAGTGTGACATTGAATCTAGCCAGTGGGCTGAACTCTGCATTGGAGGAGGAAGCTCCCCGCTGGGTGAGTTGTATAGGACAGTGTTCCCTCTAGCAGGTGACTTAACCATCATCTGCAACCCCGGGGGAGTTACTACAGCAAACACAGCTTGCAGGGACTGTGAATCAAGTGTGGGGCATGTTCATTATGAGGATCTGACTCTTGCTCCTCACGCTCATATTCTGATGCCAAGAAAGAGTCAAGGCTGAGGAGCTTTGCCTGGGAGTCTCACCTGGAGAGCCAGCCTCCAGGGGCCAACTAGGAATCCAACAGGAGAGCCTGGTATATGGCTATCCCAGCTATGAGAGTTTGGAAAGTTCTAGAATTATCTTGGACGGAGGCTGCCTCATTCTCATTCTTAAGCTCTAATTTGTTATTTGTTCTTCCTGGTGTGTATCTTTTTTTTAAAGATAATGTCTTTAGGGAAAGTGGTTTCGGAGTCTGTGAACATAAGCTGTGTCCTTCTTGACCTCACACACATGAGAAAATCAGTCAACACAAGCTCGCACATTCTGGGGTCACAGTTCTGTTCTCTCAACATCCCATACCTGTAGCTCCCTGGTTACCTGGCTTTTTGGGGTGACAAGGAAGCTGTCAGAAACTGCCTGCTTTGGATTTATTTTGAGGAAATGACTTTTTCTTGCCTCGGTGCTTGTCAGATATTTCCCCCTCTTGTTTCTACAGTTTAAAGCATGCCGAGATGTGCCTAGCACTGTATTTCTTCTCACTATTTTTTTCCTGGAATGTCTGTTTCTTTAAGCATTGAGCATCTCTCTTGGGTCTTCAGCCAACATGTCATGCTGAGAGGGAAGTGGTTGTTAATCTGTGT